TATTTCAAGTGAAGAAACAAGTAAACATTTCATTGATAATATCTATCACTATTATCAATTACCAAAAGATATTATATCAAATAGGGGGATTCAATTTCTATCAAGATCCTAGAGAATTCTATTCAAGATTCTAAAGATAGATATAAAGCTCTCTATGGCTTTTCATTCTCAAACTGATAAGCAAACAAAACTAGTGAATCAAATTTTAGAGCAGTATTTAAGGTGTACCATCAACTATCATCAACTTGATTGGATAACTCTTTTGCCATTGGCAGAGTTTGTATAAAATAATTTGATACATTTTTCTATTCAACAAACTCCTTTCTTTACTAATTATAGTTATTATCTATGACTTGATACTTATGACTTTTCAAAAGTTAATAATCTTATAGCAAAAGATTTAGAAAATTGTTTGTCGAAGCTATATACAACAATGAAGATACAATTAAAAGAAGCTCAAGAAGAACAAAAGATTAATACACATGCCTATTATAAGGAGCAACCACAATTCAATATAGGTGGCAAGGTATGGTTAATTCATTGCAATATCAAGATTACTTGTCCTTGTAATAAGTTGGACTATCGTAAGCTAGGACCTTTTCTTATTTATGAATAAATCAATCATATTACTTATTGATTACATCTATCGAAATCTATGAAGATCCACCTTATATTTCATGTATCCTTTTTTGAACCATATAAGAGAGTGAATATCTTGAGAAGAAGACAAATGTCACTTCTTCCTATAGAAGTAAATAATAATGAAGAGTTCAAAGTGGAAGAAGTTTTAGGCTCAAGGTAGTACCAAAATAGGTTGGAATAACTTGTTCATTGGTGCAAATATGATATTAGTGAAAAGATATAGGAGCCATCAAAGAATCTTGCAAATGCAGCAAAAAAAGTTAAAGTCTTTCATCAATGACATCCATCAAAATCAAGATGAAAAATAACAAATCTTTGCTATAAAAGAAATAAGACCAAAAAAAGATAACATTCTATTTTCTATCCTTCTTTATAACTTATGCATAATTGAGGAAATAGAGAACCAACAATTAGCAAATTCAACTCAAGAGCTTTTATTTGTGGACTTATTAGATAAGATATTGTGATTGTTACAACCTTCAAGACAACAAAATCGAGAGAAAGATCTTCAAGAATGACATGTCCTTCCTCGAATAGATGGCGAGATACAACATATTTGGTATCACAACCTTAGAAGAGACTCCCAATATTTGGTGATTTTATTAGAGGTAGAAACAATTCCTAATGGTGTTCCAAATATTTTATTTGAATGAAGTTACGAAGGCCTCAATAACGATCAAATTACAAGGTGATCTTCTTGTCCTAGTATGGGACACTATTGGTGGCTGAGAGTGCCTATCAACCATCTTCAAAGAGAACAAAGATCAGAGTATGTGACAAATATAATTCGTCGCATCTTAGATTTCTTCAACATATAAAGACTACTTCTTGTGGAACTCGCCCTTAGAGGGGGAAGGAAGTAATGTCACGGACATATATAGGTATTCTAATAAATAATTATATAATTAGGTAGAAATAGTTAAAAATAGATAAAATAATTTAATTTCATAAGATCTTTTAGAAAAGCTTTCTAGAAGCTTCATAGATGCTCCTTGATTTTATATGTATTTGTAGTTGATTGATAAGTTAGAAACTTGGTCAATTAATTAACCATATGTGAGTAGCTTGCGGAACAAGCTAATTATGTGGCACATATATAAAAAACTTGCTTTGCAAGTTAAGATATGTGTCTTATAAAGTCAACATATTTTGGAGGTCCTGTAAAATATTGCTACATAGCTCCTAGTTAAGAGTATATATAGAGGTAAGAGTGAAGCCTTCTTCACTCTCATCAATACCTTTCTAGTCCTTAGTCTTGTTTTAAGACTTTCTAATCTTCTTATTTTTGACAATAGTCATTCTAGTTTAATATTACATCACCTTTTGAGTGACTTTCTCGTTCTCTTCAATGACATAAGAGTGTATTGAGGATTTTCCTTCTTTGAGATTCATGTCTTTGACATAAAGATAGAATATCTAAATATGTTACAAGGAAGTATTAAAGAGGATTACTTGTCCAATAAGATGACCTATGGGCTAATATCCTTGTTGCTTAAGAATGGTCTAATTGGCGACTAATTACTTTACTAAATATTAGCTATAAGAACTTTGCTAAATTTCTATAATTTTATCTTCAATCTATTCTTATGCAAGTCATAAGTAGAAATCAATTTTTTTTTTCACCTAAATACTTTATATTGAATAATTTACTATTGATTTATGAAACAATGGCATCGACAGAAAAATTGACACAACCTCTTCTATTTCTAAATCTCTATTTTAAAAAAACTTATGATATAATAGACTATTATATCATAAGTTTTAAATCTTAGCCAATTCCAACCATATATATGAGAGAAGTAGCAAATAAGTCTAGAATTTTTCACTTCAAGAAAACATCAAAATAAATAAGGTTCTATCGTGTCGAATAGAATTGCAACAATGTAGAAAGATCTTCTCTTTTTCATCACCTACATTCTATTAAAAAGTCATGAAGAGTGGCTTATGTATATTGTGTGGTGGCAAATACAAAGCATGGAGATGGATGTTGGATTCTCTAAAAATCAAGCATCACATCTACATAAAAATGGTTCGAAACAATATAAAGACTTGTGGAAGAATGATAGTTTTTTGAGCTTTGTAGAGTCTTTTAAGAGATTTAAACTAAAAACAGAAAAAGAGGGGCCATGAAAAGCTCTGATTAATTTATTACAAGGACAATTGAAAAAATTTATTAGGAATTCTAAACCTTAGTTCAAAAATAAGGATTAGATGGAATTATTCACCTCTAAAATTGCAAGGGTTTTCCATGGTCATATGGTAAATTGAAAAAACCTATTTACTTGCCACATAAGGTACAAAATATAAGATACTATATTGTATCAATATATATACATTAAAAGTACAAAAATGTACCTTGATGGAAATCATGAATGCAACAAGATCATGGCAAAATAAAAATGAAGAAAGAGAAGAATAAGAGAAAACATCAATATTAGATATATCAAATAAAGTAAAAATAATTCCAATGCAATCTAGTGAAAAAAAAAAACTAAATCTTGTTTATTATAGAAAGATTGATAAGCTAATTTGGGATCTTGGCAAATTCCAATGATCAAACTAAGTTCTTTTCATATAGTGTATATCTAAAATGGATTGTTTATTATTATACAAGCTACATGTAATACAAGATGTGATAACTCAAAAGTGAATAAGGATGTTTTGTTGAATTTTAAACTTAAGTGGGCCAATATATAGAATAAAGAAAGAGTGCTAAAAGAAATAGGATTATTTTGGTTAACCTACCATTGAATATTAGCTTTAAATGCATAAAGAGGCAAATTCAATACAAACATCAATCAATATTGTCTGGTGTATTTAATCGAGATAAGAGAATCAGTGCTCTATAAATTTTGGAAATGGACATTAGCAAAAAGAAATGGAAATGAAAAATTTCTATTATATAACTTTTGGCTTATACATACCAAACAGCACAGCGAAGGAGGTTGGTATCATAATGTACTTAATTTAAATGCATCAAAGTTATTTGGAAGGTAATTAATTTTATTTGTAAGACGGGAGGAATATAATGCTTATATATTTACAAATTTGAATGGGATTTAGAATAGAAGATTGTTACTTTAAATAGATTTTTTAAGCTTTAAGGTTATTATCTTTTAGAATACATCCTTGACTCTATAATAGTTCAAGGCAGATATTAGGGGAAGATTAGGAGGGGATTTTGGCATCAAATAGAGCTTCTTTGGGCTAGAATAAAGAGGGAGATCCATGAAAAATTGTGAGAGGAGGATTGTTGGAATTTTTGGATAGTGAGATTGTAGACTAATTTAGATTTTTTGATACCATTTATTAGGTTTTTATCTTTTTGTTTTGAAATTTTGAAGGAAGCTAGATCTTGTTGTTAGATTTCCAACAAGCCTTTGCATATAAGAAAAAGAGGTGTGACAAGGGAGATTTAAGCAAATTTATAGGAGGGATTATTAGGGACATTTAGACAATAGGATTCAAGACTAGTTTGGATTTTTTCATGCCATTTATTGGATTTTTATCTACTTATTTTGAGATTTTGAAAGAAGTTAGATCTTGTTGATAGCTTTCTAACTAGCCTTTACATGCAAGAAAGATCCAAGTTAATTTGTTGATGAGGATTTTGAAGGTTGTAGCTATGACAAGCACTCAATTTTTTTCTTGATTGGCTTTCATTTTTTTTGAAGTTTGTAGCTTGAGTCAAGTTCAATGAACTAAACTTTCCTACATTGGATTAGTAACAAGTGAGTTATAGATATTTTATTGGGAAAAGGTTTGGGTTTGAAATTAGAGTGAGGAGTTAGGTGCATCTTGGTACAAAAAAGGAACTCATCTAAAAATTGTACTCAGCTTTTGGATTGCAGGAAAAGGAAAAGTTGTGCCAAATGATTTGGCTTCATCTCATTGATTATGATAGAAACGCTTGGTTCCAAACCCAGAAAAGAATGCAGCATAGTCCATTAAAGGCGACTGAATGGTCACAGAAATTTTGCCAACAATGGTGCAAAAACAATATTTTGGCTACTTGGATGCAAAACAGACTAGATTGGAAACTTGTTGGGCCTAGTAGTAGTTTTGTACATAATAGGCAGTAGTCTAACCCGCCTGGCCAGACCTGGCTGGGGGAGTGTACTCTAATCACTGCAATGAAGAAATCTTTATTTTCGTCGAAAATAAAGTAAAATAAATAGGATTCGATTACCGTGAAGTAGTACGATGATTTTATTGCAGAAAGGTAGCTGGTTTGAAGGCCGCCTTCAGACACCACCTTTGACTTGGACGGACAGATCGTTGCTTTGCAGGCAATGTTGATAGCCTGTACCGTATGTGGATATTGGATGGGGATTTCATGTGTTGCAAATAGTCAAAAATGAGAAAAATGAAAAGATTTCTGAGGGCTAGATTCCGTGATGTTCACTTAATTGTCGGATCGACATCGTAACTTGGTAGACATCTGTCATCGGATGGATGGTGGAGAAAAGCCATCAGATGAGCAAGTAATTATCACTTTGACAAACTTTGCTTAAAGCAGTAGAGCTTGCGTCTAATAAATTAGAAAGTATAACTATCAAGCGAAAATCAAGTCTAATGTACACCTCCACAACCTGGTCCATAGGTGTTGCCATATCCTGCACATGAGTCTTGCGTATTTAACATTAATTCAGCATGGCTTAAAAAGCATGTACACATTTAAGAGGAATGTTTTTTTCCCAGTTGCTACGGTCTGGCGCCTACATTACCTCGGACACACAGAGGGCTGTGAATGTGAGAGAGAACAGATTGAGGATTATAACACACAGAAACAGGACTAGGTGTATCTCTCTGTTCCATAAAGTTCAGCTACTTGGATATGAAGCAACTCCAGACCTGATGCATTCACTTGCTTTAAATGCAAAAGCATATGATTCTGCAGTTTCATATTCCATATTAAGCATGTAAGAACCAAAGGTTCTCAATTCATAACACGGGACCAAGTATTGCAGTCTCCAAATAATCATCAACATCATACAAAGACGTTCCACGGCAACACGCATATGATTCAGTTCCTAGTGACTTTTATCTTAGGAACGCAAGCGCAAGCATTCGCAGCACATCCCCGCAAACATCAAGGACTAAAGTCTCACCTTTAGGATGCAAGTCACGGCGTCATGGAAGCGCAGCATGACATCTTACTTGGTCACAAATCTTGCAGTGGTTCAAAGTACTTGCGGTCAATAAGATATGATCCAACCGCAAATCGCACAGCCCACGTATCCTTGGGTCTTCTGTCGATTACTCTGCAACACAAGGTTTCAGTATTGCTTGCACTAAGAAGTCAGGCTACCCATGAAAAGATGTTAGGGCTCTAGGGTTCTAATAGTCCAAACTGTGGGACTTATATCAGAAAAGAATACTCCAAGTTATTCCACGCCACCAGTCAGCAGATCCACATTATGTGATCACAATTTCTAACCATTTTATACAGATACAGACATTAGCCATAAACACGACCTTGACCACTTTGATGTAAATTTCTTTGGGAGGCATTCTCGGCTAGAGTCATAAACTTATGGGCAGCCATCTGAGTACACACGAAGGTAACCCATCCAAAACTAATAGAACATATTCCTCCCACGTTTTCATTCTCACTTATAAGGATTATCCTTTCCCCATGGAATTTCATTGCATAGATAAGGCATTGAGGATTTATTGTCAATATTACTGGATTAAAATCAGATTACGAACTATGCTACTTACGAAAAATCATTTCTCCACAACTTTGAGTCAAAGTAAAGAAGCCATAGCGAAGGTCTGTTCCATTCATTTGCAATCTTGATCATATGATACTCAACATACACATTGCAAACTCCTACAAACTTATAAGAATTAATAGAAGAAGAAAAAGAAGAAAAAAAGAAGAATAAAAGAAGAGGACAAAATGTGAAAACAAGGACAAGGAGACAAGTATACAGAGCACACACCGGCCTGCATCACCAACGTTGATAAGCCCATTGTTAGGGCGCATCATGGGCATGGGTTCTGCGGTCTTCAAAAGCGGAGGCGCCTCCGTCACCACCACTGCACTCCCAGCTTTCAGAACCACGTCCGTCTTCGCCACTGATCTCTTTTCCCCACTTTTTCCTTCACTGTTGCTGCAACACTCCACCACTACAGTACTATTGATTTTTTGCCTGCTTAAGGTACTCGGATTCCTGAATTTGGTGGCCAAAACGCAGCAGCTTACTGCGGGATCGAAAGACCAAGACAATTTTCTGCTATTATGGGTGCTCAAAGGACTTTGATATCGATGGACTCCTTGCTGCAACCCAGAAAGAACCTGGAGCTCCATTGATTCTCTAGACCCAAAAAAATTGAAGGAATCCGTGCGTAGACGAGGATTGCGAATTCGCAGATAGCAGAGAAAACTGGAAGAGAACCCAAATTTGCCAAGCCGAGCTCTGCCCTTCAAAACCCTACGAGTTCATCTTATCTTCATCCACACCAAAATTCGCACTGGATAACGATATCATCGCTTTTGAACGAAGTCTGAACCCCTCCTTCCGTTTCCTTGAGTGCTCTATTCTACAGGATTTAGTCTTAATCTGTGTATGTGCATGTTTGAAGATTCTGTGTGACATCTAGCGAAATTGAACTGCTGCATTTTGAAATTTCTCTCAAGGTTTTAGGAAGTGTGGAATCATTTTTGTGTTTGTTGGATTGAATTTCACTAGGTCGATGATCATGAAGTTTTTGTAACTTAAGACTCAATTCGCAACAAACCTATGGAGCTTCGAGCGTTAGGTGGGTTGCAGCAAGGTGGCATTTGGTATCAGGGGTTTGGGAGCACGCACGGGGGTTTTCCAGCCAGCAACACCGTTGGTGCACAAGGACCAAGGAATTCGAGCTTGTGGGGGTATGTTCGTTGTCTGGAGAGAAGAGGGCTGAAAGGAGGTGCGTTGGTGTCAAGGTGCAGCATCGAGACGGAGCGTGAAGCGGATGCGGGGAGGTACATGTCTCTTCCTTTTGCTCTTGCTGTGGAGGTTTTTTTATTTCTTATTTTTCTTGAATTGTCTCCTGATGTTTTCATCCCTCAAATACTACGAGGAGATAAACACATGGTCGTGAACCCTAATAGCAGGGACACGGTTCCATAACATTGGCTGGGAACTACAATATCGCTAAACTAGATGGATCACCAGAGAGGTTCAAATACTCCTCGAGATAATTACACCACATTTTCTTGTCTCTTAGTTTTCAAGGTCGTGAGCTAATTGTAAGTGTTTGCGGATATGTCAATTGAAAGTTTCCGCAGACTTGCTGAATTTGCTATGATGAAATACCGTAACAGGATGTTAGCAGACTAATTTGGAGGATTAATGGCGGTTGGTTTGATCCTTTTGCGACCACCAGTGTGCAAGCAAAACACATTCATTGTTGGTTTGACTGTTGCAGGGTGATTGATGGGTTATATCCAGGGCCGGGGGATAGTACCTCGGTCGATGAAGTCTCAGATTTTTGGGAGTACGAAGCGACTCGACACTCCAAGGATGTTAGAACAGAAGGTGCTGAACTTCCAAATGCATTCGATGATAAAAACCGTAGTGACGATGGAGAACGTCCTCATGGCAGGGCCGAGTACGTGATGCCAAAGGTCAAATATACAAGGGAATCAAAAGGTTTGAAGCCTTCATACCGCGTGTTTTCAAGGGACAGGCAAACATCTCCCAAACCCAGGATAAATCCGTATTCAGTGCTACTGAAAATGATTGATCCAGCCAACGATGACGAGTACCAGGATTCAGACTCAAGGTGGAAATCTTCGGTGAAGTTGAAAGGCAGTTCTAACGTGGTTCAGGATGCAAAGCCAGGAGAAGAGTTTCTATCAAGTGCTAACAACCTAGTGAATACAGTAGAGAATTCCTTGCAAGAGGATGAGGCTCTTGGTACTGAGCAAGATGGTAATCTTTTACTAAATTTCAAAAGCTTTGACATTGGTGAAGACACAGGCCATGGACTGAAATGGCATCCGACAAGCGGAGATGGAGGAGATGAGCTTTTTGACAGGATCGATGATGTTGGGAGCAGCATCATTGGAAGTATGGATGAGGCTGAAGAACCGGTTTCATCTTACGAGCAAAATTATTCTACTAAACAGTGCGGCGACGAAGGCGAGTTAAAGTTCCCGTATGCTTTGTCAAGCACCGAGGATAACTTTGACGAGGAGGATGAGTTACTTACCGGCTTTGATAATAGATTAGGTAGGTTAGGTGCCCTATGGTCAGATTCTGAAGATGACGATGACGAGGATGATGATTTTGATGAGAGTGAACTAGCTAGGAACTGGAGTGCTGAATCAGCTAAGGAAGAAGCCTCTGATGGAGAAGACCCGTTGAGGAAATTTCTGAACTCTCGCTCTGGCAACCGTGATAGTAAGAATGAGGGCAGGGTTTACAAGTACTACAAAGCTGCAAGGAAACCAATTGGTGTTCACTTAAACACATCTGGACTTTCCCGTTCTCGTTCCTCAGTCATTGGCAAGGAGGTCCTGTATCCTGTCCTAAATCTGAAGGATAAGGATCGTTTAGTCTGCAGAGCTAATCCGGAGGACACTGAGAACCGTATCAATAGAAGTAGTGATGTCGTTGTGGATCTGACGCCCATGCAGCATGGTGAAAATCAGAGGGAAACAAGTGCTATTAGAGAAGTTCTTCAAATTTCTTACAACCTACCACAGAATCGCGTATTGGAAGACTATATGGGACCATTTGTAAATAAGTTTAGCAATGTCCAAGCTAACATTATTTTAGAGGCTTTGTGCGGAGATGACTTGACCGAACAGGTGTTGTCTTTCTTTCGATGGGTGCGGTTACATGAGCCCTGCCTGTGCGACCCCAGGAGCTTCACAATACTTTTCACCTTTCTTGGTAGAATGGCAATGCCGGATCAAGCTCTTGTCTTTTTTGGAATGCTGCCGAAGGATAAGCAGTTTCATTCTGTTCATGTCTACAATACGTTAATAACATGTCTCACAAACTGCAACAGGTATGATCTGGAGTTATACCATAATTTGGCATTCTACGAAGTATTTGTCTTGTTCTAACTTCATAATGTAATGGGAGCTAAAACTGTGATTTTTCACTAATTCCTCTTCAAACCTTTTTTCCCCCGTAATTGAAGATTTGCTTACAAACACGTGGTGCCGGTAATTGCAGGCAAGACGAAGTTCCTTCCATACTAGAGAAAATGCAGAGATGGGGCAACGAGCCAGACTCCGTCACTTTCAGTGTGCTCATGAATTCTGCTGTCAAAGGAGGGGGCTCGTTAAAGGAAGTTTGGGCTCTGTACCAGGATATGGTGCAGCGGGGCATCTCCCCTAGCGTCTCGGTTTTCGGCACATTTATTAAGGCTTTCTGTGACGCAGGCCGCTTAAAAGAGGCTCTATTAATTACTACAGAGATGGAGAAATTGAACGTGCCGTTCAATGTTGTGATATATAATATTCTCATTGATGCATACGGTAGGGTTGGTCAATTGGAAGAGGCTGAAGGATTAATGACTGAGATGCGAGAAAGGGGAATACAGCCAAACGTTGGCACTTACAATGCTCTTATTACTGGTTACCTGGAAGCAAAGCCTAAGAGGCAGTTTGTAGTAGCCGAGGGTTTAATTGAAGAAATGGAGGCCTCGGGCTTATACCCGGATGTGGTGACCTTCACCATGTTGCTTGGTGCTTACGGACACGAAGGGTTGACGGAACAAGCTGAACAGGTGTTTAATCGCATGAAGGCTAGGGGTGTTCAGCCAAATTCTTACTCCTACACCGCCCTTATAAACGCCTATGCTGAACGACGTTGTCCTGAGAAGGCTGCAAGGGCGTTTGAAATGATACGGAAGCAAGGGGTCAATCCCACTGTGGAGACTTACACAGCCTTGTTAGATGCTTATCGACGTGCAGGAGACTTGGAAATGGTACAAGCTGTTTGGAAGTCTATGAAGGTGGAGGGCTGTGTGGCTACAAGAGTCACTTACATGACCATTCTCGATGCTTTTCAAAAGCAAGGACGATACAAGGAGGCACGTGACCTGATTGAGGAATTCAAAAACCAAGGACACAAGCCGGATTTGATGGTTTACAACATGCTTCTGAATTCCTACATGCGAGGAGGCCGCCATGTTAAGGCAAGTGACATCTTGCTGGAAATGAAAACAGCAGGATTCCTTCCTGATTCTTTTACCTATTGCACCCTTATTTACGGGTTTCTACGCGTTCGAGATCAAACGAAGGCTTTAAAGTACCACAGAGAAATGATGAATCGAGGGCAACTGCCAGATCCAAAAACTTACGCAAAACTGAGGGCTATCCTCAAAGTTGTAGAAAAACGAAGAGATGAGAATAACCTCAAAAGTCGAAGAGGGAAATCCTCCAATTCTGCGAAGAAAGGCACAGAGAAAAGTAAGTCCTTATGGAAACCCAACCCATGACTATGTCTGAGGTGGACTCATCGAAGAATTTTCCTGTAAACTGATGTAGCTGAGGCCCATTTTTTGCTGCTCAATATCGAAAGTAGCTGACGATAAGAGCCTTGAAATTAGATTCAAAATTTAATCTTGAGAGTATGTTGGTTCAGAACGGAAACATTTCTAACAGGAACAAAGCTCGGTAAACTAACATTCGTTGATCAGATTTTGTCTTCCAGTGTGCTCCGCTCACTCCACGTAATCCAAGTGTCCATCCTAGTCTCCACCCACTTTCAATTTCTTCAATGAGTTCCGACACTGAAGCTTCATCAGAAACAATGCTATGAATCACACCTTTTCAACAGAATTGCTGTATGCACCATTTGGAAGTAGACACTGCAATAAAAAAAAAGTGTATATATATATATATATATCCCCAATATAAATAAGTAAACAAGTAAATAAATAACGCTCTGTAAGAATGAAGTTAGTGTAGTCAAATTTCCGTACGAGTTGCCCTGGAAGGCCACCAGTTTCACACTTTTCCCAACTTAAAACCGATGGTGAAAGTCTAAGATATTGATTCACAATAATAAATGTAATAATAATTGCAACAGCACCAATTAAAATAGCTTCATGTTTGCAAATTTTAATAGTTTGTGTATTTCAATTTATATATGCCACATATAACTTTGATAGTGCATCAAACTATTTTATAATTTATTACGTACTTATTGTACTTAAAATCTTACAATAACACCACCATATAACAATCTCAACCATTCTAAGTGGTATTTTCACCTAAGTTTTAATAAGATAATATCATTTTTTTAATGATTTTTTTAGAGCACTACCAAAATCTTTATTTTTGAGATTCTTGAGTTAATTCTTGAGATTCTAATGGCAACTACAAAACGGCTCTTTAAATATCCCCATAACACTCTAATATGTGTTTTTTGAAAATCATGCAACATTTATAAAATTACTTTCTTATTATTTCTTGCAAAATTCTTTCAAGATCATGTTAGAGACTTCTAATAAATTTATTGTAATAATTAGTGCATATATTTTTGTAGAACTATTCTATGCAAGACTATTGTCCCAATTTCTTGTTATAAATTTTAAATGCATGAGATTTGAATAGAATAATTTGGAAAGACTAATTACAATTAGAGTTTTGTATCTAAATTCTTTCAAAATATAACATTCATATCTATATATTTTACTTTATATTTATGCTTTATAAAAACCTTATATTGGAATTAATTTTATAAAAAAATCATTTTGTTAAAAATTGATCAAAATTTAAAACATGAAGGGTAAATTTGATTGATATATATTAAAGACATTGATTTATTGTTAGTTATTTAATAATTTCATAGTTGATATTATAAATTTTTATAAATATATCATTTATTTAATTATTATTATGCTTTAAAATGATCAATTTTGTTGATTTTTTATTTTTTAAAAAATATTTAGGTATTGATAAGTATCAAGTATTGTAATAAAAATATTAATTTTGATAAATTTTCAAAATAGTTATAAAATATTAAAATAAAAAATACTATAGCAAGAAAAGAAAGAAATAAATAAATAAAAGAACTCTAAACACTAAAAAAACACACATAACAAACATGTGAATTCCATATGTAAGATTTTTTTGTTAATGTATAATTTTCTTAAAACCTTAACATTTCTAATGTTTAATACCACAAGGTATAAACCCCACAAACATAACTTAACTGATGGACTCATTACTCTTTGTGGTTTCAAGTCAATTTGGCAACAATACACATAAGATCCAAGCATTTGCACATATTTTGAGACTTTGAATGTAAATTAAAATGTTTTTAAAAATACAGAATATGAAAAAGTGTATAAGATGCAAACTATAAATTTTAATTAGCTTAGAAAGGAACTACAATAAGTACAAAATAACACAGTATTTAATTCCATTGATATACTCACTTTTGCAAAATTTCTTTGCACATGGTTCTCACGAAATAGGTGAAGTGGTTTAGAAAAATCCCTGTTTACACGTTGCGGGAAAGCAAACCGTGGAATCGAACAGCGTGCGTGTTTATGCATTGTATCATGAGAGTATCAAGTCTTATTCAAGTACTGCTGTCGCTCAGAATTGGATACACTTTTCATGCAGTAGATCGTATTTAAATAGCAGTGGTGCTTCCTTTGTATGATCGGTCTCAAACCTTGCACCGAACTCGTAGTCTTTGTTCCCTCGCTATCCACTCAACTTTAGACGTCGTGATTCTCGTCTACATTTGTGTTCGAGATCGCAAAGCTGTTGGATCCGCAAGATTATGTGCAGGTTTTCCCGGAGGTGACTGTCGTAGATCCAGCATCTGCAAATCAGCAGCTCAGAAACCGTAAACCTATGTTACAAGATGTAGCAGACGTGAGCCTCATCGATTGCGATGGTAGTGCGAGCTCTTAAATGCTTGACGAGCAGTTTCTCTGACGATTTCTATTCGGCGGGATCATTATAAATTTGTTAGGGGAAGCAATGCATCGTTCATTCGTTCGTTATATTGGCTGAGTTCCCGTTTCAGACTGAGGAAAATAAACATTAAATTTGCGTTTGTTCGAGGCATTCAACGAGCTATGTTCGGTGGCCTTTTCTTATTCCATTGTAGCTCAAGTACGGGTGCCGAAAAGCTTGTAGTAGATTGTGGTTCTTCCCACACTCCAACCTCCGTAGCCGAATCAGGATTGAAGCTGCCGTTACGTGAGCTTATAAGTCTAACCAGTCTCGTCTTTGATTCAAAGAAACTGCATTTAGGACATTCTGCGCTCTTTGGCTGCATTTAGGATGCTTATCGAGATCTTCATGTGAACTTGCTGATTCAATTTTGTTCTGTTTGAATAATTGTGTGCAGCCTTGAGGTCAACAATCAATTAGACTGCATTTTGATAGAAGCATCTGATCCTCTGATGGAATTTTGAAAAGTAATATGTATACGGTGATGGTTAATTGGAGCATTTTTCGTGCAGTTCCAAAGCCATTGGTGGCCGATAGTTTTGCCGTCACATTCTGTGGAATTCTTTTGGGCTCTATCCAGTTACCCTTCTTGTTCAAAAATTTGTAAAACCATGGTAAAGACAGACGAGTCTTTTTTGCTTTCTTTAATTTAGTCAGAAGTTGCCTTTATCCTCAAATGTTCTTGTGCCTTTAGAATTTGGCCAATAATTTGTCTTGTTATTGAAGGTTCACTTCGGTTGGCATTACTGTGGTCGATTTATTTTGCTATCTGTTGCTGCTGCTGCTACTTCTCATCCTCATTCCTCCTTTTTATTTTTTTAAATTTTGATTTTAGTTTTCCTCTCTCAGTGTCTGCTTTGTTTTAGCTGGCGCCTCAGGCACCCTCATTCAGGTGGTTTACTGTTCAAGGTGTATGTAAACGGCGATGCCATCAAGGCCATGCAAAGGTCTTCGTTGCCTGATCTTGACGTAGGGGACCAAACAAGTTTTGGTTAGAAATCGTTTCCAAGTATTTCCTCTGCGGCGGCTACAGCTGAAGAAGCTGATTTAGACTCGGAGGTCGGGGGTAACTTGTCATACTTGTACATCCTACCTTCTACAGATCTGTCGATCACGCATACAGATGTATATGGGATCAATTGGTCAGAAGAGGAACTTTTGTAATTGCGTATTGTCCTGGGCTCTCCCCCCAGATACGCATGTTATTACGAAGTGCTTTTCTTCGTAGAAGTTCAACTCTGGTTTTAACTTGATTGTTACTACAGAGTTGCCACCCCAGCGGCTTCTTGATCGCCTGGTGGCAGAGCTATCTACTAGGTTGATAAAAAAAAATTACAATGTGGAAATATTTTTTTGCTAGTCTTGTTGGTCTCGTTATTGACCTCAAAGTATAGCTCCGCCTCACAGGTCTAAACACACCAAAGGAAGAGGTACGGTAGTTTGAAGGTATGTTTTGAAATGATTAAAATCACTAGAGGATTTCTCTAAACCAAATAATCGAGTGGATGAGGAACCGAATTCATTAACTTCCACCTCCTAACTTCTAACCTTACTACAGGCACTGTCACTCGGATTCCATGTATCACCACTAGTTTTCACCCGTCTTGCCAAGTGGCAAAAGTTTCGCATATTACTGTTTGCATAACACTGTTGCCATCATTGCTGGCAAACATGTCATCCCTCTAGAATATTCACTCTTAGTAAATTTTTATGAGGTGCCAATCTGCAACGTAGTACTGTCAGTAGTACAAGAGCTATGAGACCCAGTGTTAGGAGCAGAGGCTCGAAAAGCGCTTTGGATATATCTTGGGTACGTGGATTATCATTCGTTCTTCTGTGAGGCTCTTTTGTTCAAGGTCTAATTCCTTGTTGTTTCATCTTTGGCAGGGTTTGTCCCGCTTCAACTTTGATATGATCCGAGGAGGCGCAGGACGTTGCTACCACGTCATAGATATCAATTATTTCCCTGGTACGTGCTGACTTCCTTTCAACATCTGTATATTTAGATGTCGAAATATTACACCACTTTTGCAAGGCTCATGATGTCATATCCTGTACTCTACTCTGGCTTTACTTGCAATTGCATAATTGCTTCATACACAGTGAACGTAGGGGCTGTTGTTATTAAAAGTAAATCAACAAAATATTACGCATGCAAGTCATTAGATTACGTAATTGTGCAGGTTGTATTCATCACGTGCCTCTCGATGGAGGCTTTGGCAAGGTGCTAGACTGAGTTGCTGATCACTGATTATTTAGTGGATTGTCTATGTTGGTTTTCAATGATAGACCACTTCCTAACAGAGCCACATAACAGAAACAATTTGCAATTTATGTGTATTATTTTTGCAATCTATCAATCCATTAAAGAAGAGTCTTTAGAATTTAAGTTGGTGTTTGGGTAGTGTTCGCAGTTCACCCTTTACATGTTGCTTAACCAGACCAGATTTGAAATACAAATGAATTTTGGATTACTGTTCTAGAATTGTTGATGCAGAGTGTACACTGTTCTATTCATCCACTTTTCAAATGAATTGCTTCTTTTGAACTTGTGTTGACAGGTGGGTACTAGACTTTTGCCTCCTATCTTCATGTTCCTTCATGTCTATTTATGAGAATGTAAAATCTAAGATCGTATTCTAAAATTAAACTTGGATTAACAATGATGTTTTTACAGTGTGATTGTTTTTCATCAAATGATTATTACATGAGTTTTTTTTC